CCTCCATCATCTCCTCCGCCTCCATCATCTCCTCCGTCTCCATCATCTCCTCCGTCTCCATCATCTCTTCCATCTCCGTCATCTCCATTTCATTCCATAACAGGGCCAAAGAAATGCCATTACTTAGCAGTGACAAATTAATAGTAATTTCCATTTTTTTCTCACTACTTTTTTTCTTGGGGTTAGGCTGATGATAGAATTATAAGTCTTGAGGGCAAGTCTTGGTTGATATCTGTATTGATAGAAAAGAGCAATATCTTTTCCTTCCCTTGTGAGGAGCAAAGGCAAAAAAGGAGAATTTAATAGCATCAAATGGAATGAAATAGAAACCTACCAAATGCTATTATTTGGAAATGGAATGAAATGGAAACCTTCCAGCTCATATGATCTAGAAATGGAATGAAATGGAATAAAATGGAAGCCTGCCAGATGGTATGATCTGGAAATGATGTGAAAAAGAGATGGAGATGATGGAAATGGAATATTCCTGAGGCCATTGCTGCTGAACCAGACTCCGTGGGTAGACCCAAGAAATTTGCATTTTCAACATGTGACTGTTACTCATCTAAAGCAGGGCTTCCCAATACTGTTGACATTTGGGCTGAGTAATTCTTTGTGGTTGGGGCTTTCCTGTGCTTTGCAGGATGCTTAACTGTATCTCTGGCGTCTACCCTATAGCACTTCCTCCAGTCCTAACAACCCAAAATGTCTCCAGATGTTGTCAGATGTCCCACGCTGGCACTTCCAAGGGAACAAAAATGCATTCTTGTGAAGCAAAAGTATCTTAGATATTACAATGGTTTGTGGCCTTCCAGGAGAAAAGTATGCCTCCAAGATTTAACATTGCCCAGCAAAGTGTTTAATTCCATGATAGGGGAGGGATTTAAAAAAAAATCCATCTAGAAAGTCTTTTTAGGGGAGTAGTAATGGAAGAAGGGTTGAGAAATGATGCCCTAAACGCTAAATTCAAAAACCACTGGCAAAGGTAATACACATAACAGCTAACTGATAACATATGAGAGTCAGTGTCCTCATTTCACAGATCCGGGAAGAAAGTGCTGAGAAGTTAAATAACTTGTGTATTGTGTAAGGCCACACAGCTGTGATGCCTCTTAATTCAGGCACTTTGAGCCCAAAACCTCTTAACTATTTTGTCACTAGTCAGAGGTGATATAATGACAATTAAACCAAACCAGCAGTACTTAGAGTTACCTTAAAAATATATCATGCACGCCTGTAATCCTAGTACTCTGAGAGTCCAAAGCAGGTGGATTGCCTTAACTCAGGAGTTCAGGACCAGCCTGAGCAAGAGCAAGACCCTCCTGTCTAAAACTATCCAGGCTTGTGGTAGGTGCCTGTAGTCATAGCTACTTAAAAGTCTGAGGTAAGAGGATCATTTGAAGCCTACAAGTTTGAGGTTGCTGTGAGTTATGACATCATGGCATCAACAGAGGGCAACAAAGTGAGACTATCTAGGAAAAAAAGAAATATATCATGCTTTTTGGACAGCAGCATCTTTAACTTTCTGATTTGATTACAATGGGTTGTCAAAAATGAATTCATATTCCTTTTTGAGACAGAGTCTCACTTTGTCATCCTCAGTAGAGTGCCATGGCCTCATAGCTCACAGCAAACTCAGACTCTTGGGCTTACTTGATTCTCTTGCCTCAGTCTCCCAAGTAGCTGGGACTATAGGCGCACATCCACAAGGCCCAGCTATTTTTAGGGACAAGGTCTTGCTGTAGCTCAGGCTGGTCTCGAACCTGTGAGCATGAGCTCATGCAATCCACCCACTTTGGCCTCCCAGAGTGCTGGGATTACAGGGTGAGCCACGATCCCCGGCCTAAATTTATATTTCTTAAATACACTAACTAAATGTTTGGAAGAGGCAAATCTTCGACTGAATATAAAATAATTGAGAAAATAAGTTTTCACTGTCTGATTTCATGAGATGACTAAATTTTATCAATGATATTATTATTTTTATAGAGAAAAATTCTAGAGAACAATCGTGATTTCACTATTCCTCACTTGCAACCGCTGACTGTATATTGTCTCAAAGCCAGAGCACACCTTGTGGATAAAAAACAGAATAAAAGCAGTATTTTTAGTGATGCTGTGTGTGAGAAAACAAAACCAGGTCAGAATCTTTTACATCTTTTTTAAATGTAACTAGACTTAATAAAAATAATTCAATTCTGTACATTGAAAATTGTAAAACATTTTCTCTTACTGTGAAAGATAAATATTTTCTTCATGAACTACCATGTTTTGCCATGTATAATGTACACTTTTTGCCCAAATTTTGAAGGAAAAATAAGGGCGTAAATTTTATATGGATAATACTAATTCTGTTATCTACATAAATATTTTTAATTCTTTGATTTATGCTTATGTGTTAAAAGTGCATCTCTAGAAAGCAATAACGATATCTGTGTGCAAAATAATCCCCTTCAGAAGACACTGGTAATGTAGAAAATGAAGACATGGTACTTCTGATATTGGCAGTGTGGAGAGCTCTTGACCTTGTGTGATGTATCAATTTTGTAAATTTGTTAACTGATACATAAAAACTTGTACGTTGTATCAGTTCTTGTGTTTTGTAATTATTTGTTACATAAAATTCTTTGTGCCATTATGTTAAAAAATAAATGCTTCAATTCCATTATAATCCAAAAAACAAATACCTAAATATAAACAAATAAAATTTTGAATTGAAAAATTAAAATGAAAGTTTTTGTTTCCCTGAAAGTTTGGGCCAAAAATATGGGTGTGCATTACACACAGGAGTGCATTGTACATGGCGAAATATGGCGTTTGAAGCAAACGTAGACCTTTAAGCTAAGTCTTTCAGTTTTAGAAAATATTTTTAATGCTTAATTTAGTGTTTTTTGAATGCTTTATATTTAATTCGGTATCCATATAATTTCCTTAATGTATTGCTCCTTGATATTTAATAAGACTATTTCTATTTTTACATAATTCTTAATTATGTGGAAATCACTTCATTCAATGGTGAATTTTTTTTAATGTGGGAATCATCTAGTCTTGTTTTGGATCTTACAGTTTCTAGTGTTCTACCGTTTCTGTGTTGGTTTGGTCACAGAATATTTTCAAAATTTTACTAGTTTTAGAAGTGCTGAAGATCACTGGGCTGTCTGGGTCTATATGTCAATATTGTGCTTTTCCCTACGAACCTCTTATTTCCGTTCCCAGGCCCATCTTTAATGTAAACGTCATTGCCTACAGTTGTTCAGATTCAGTGCTACCAGAAGTATCTTTAAGGGTATTATGCAATAGATTTTATATCCTTTTTGCTAGTCTTTCACACAGAAGCTATCAGCACTATTAAGACATTTGAGTGTCAAACCATGTATTAACGCTAAACATCATTTATGTGCTTTAAGGAAATTCTTCCAAGAGCTGGCTTATAGCTGGCATTTGCCTTGGGTTATTTGCTCTCATAGCTGTCGTGTATTTTGTGAAAGTCCTCCAGAAAGCCATCACTTATGTGTTCTTCCCATCACTTAAACCTTCCTCCAACATAGATAAGGTACGTACGTTGCTTTTCTTTGTCAACGTCTAGGAAATAAACAGGAATGGTTTGATTTCAAAAGAACGTTTACGTTTTCTTAATATCCAGGGAAAAAATACAAACTGATTTGGGTATATTCTTCTAAGTTTTAGTAATTTCACTTTAGAAATGGCCGTTTAATGGAATAACATAGCTCGGGATAGTAAGGCTTGTCCTTAATCTCATATTTTTCTAGCAACGTAGAGACTGACTGTGGCATTTGTTTTACAATTTAAAGTCTTTATGATTCTTCACGGTACAGTCCCCAACGTAACAACGGTTTGACATAATTTTTCAACTTTATGATGGACTTATAGGAGTATTAAACTCATTTTCAGCTTACAGTATCTTCAACTCACTGCGGATTCACTGGGACATGCCACCATTGTAAGTCAAGGAACATCTGTATCCAAAAGACAAATATTCTGTCCATGTAGAAAGAATATTCTTAGGATGAAATCGATAATAACATGAAGGTTTTTTAACGTAATGACACCTCACAGTTTTTTTTTGGTGCTCCTGTGAAGTTAGCCTGTTTAACGCCCGCACTAAATCCCCAGGGCCTAAGCATAGAATCTGACCGGGGAGCCACACGCATGTGCTCACCCAGGTGAGTTTCTGGTTCCCTTCAGGGACAGTGAACTTGAGTAAATCGCCTGAGGGTAGTTGAGTACCTACCCCTAGACTAACTATAAAATATAGCCAGTAATACTACCCCATGAGGATGTGGAAATCTTAGGAGGAGTTGAAATAATAATAATGTCGCCCCAAGGAGTTGTACAGAACAAAGGAGATAAACCGTAAGTTCTCGCACTCTAAACATACCCAGTATGTATTAACTATTTTACTCTTAGACTTCTGAGTTTTTTTATATTCCTCTATATTCTTAACATTCATAGTTGTTGTTTAAAATACAGACGTAAAACTAGCCAGATATAACAACTAATTTTTATTATTAGTTAAACTTGAAGAAATGAATTTCTCACTTGTGCGTCTCCTGGATATCTGTGGATTAAATATAAAATGTTTTATCATTTTAGGGCTCGGCGCCTATAGCTCAACCGGCTAAGGCGCCAGCCACGTACACCTAAGGTGGCGGTTTGAATCCCC